CCAGTACTTCCCTGGTTTTGGTAGTAGTCGTAATACTGCAGTTGATGTGAGCGAGCAATAAAAGCGAATGTCAGGATAAAAAATCCGCGAAAAATCTTGATCTTATTAAGGTATCGATTAGTTTAGTCATGTTTAAAATATTTCACATTTTAAACATATTATTCCATATCTCTTACAACATTGCAATAGAAACAAAATTATTACAGTTCATATAACGGATCGATTATCTCAGTTAGACAACCACTGAAAACCAGGAAACAAACTACATCCACTTCATCTTTGTTTGAACCTCTTCAGCAGTGAGCATTCAACACTTTCACTGCAGGAAAAGTCGAGATCAAAAGCTTCACATCTCGTGATTAGCACATAACCTTTAAACCATTGAGCTGAGATCCGATGATGCATCCTTCTAGTTTTAATTAGTTTACTCTGTCGCTCAACCATTCTTTAATGCCATTGATGGATAACTGCTTCAAACCTGGTCATAGCTTGTTACCAGGACTCCATGAACTATTTCTTGAAATTAGGCGCGAGTGAGCACATGATTGTAAATCAATTCATGAATAATCATTATTTACTAAAGGTCGTCTCTATATTTTTTCTATCTATATTCATATCGAAAATGCTCGGTCACGTCTACATAAGGACTTCTTGGACAGATACTTCCAATCTTTGTGTAAACAGCAACTAACAACAATTAAAACAGGACAAAATATATCTTTTAAGTACTAACTATTGATTATTATTATCTTCTATTCATAATAGGTTAATGAATTTTCACATATGACCTTAAAATGCATATTTACCGAATTTGTATAATACAGAATATTGAGTTGTGTAGTTTCAACAGCCTTTGTAGTAAATATAACAAGAGAATGTCCATACATCTATCACTGTTCAATAAATGCCCAGTATCCAACATTTCGAGCATTTAATAATGGATTAATGTTGTATATACCAGGGTGTAATTTTCACTTGTTTACATACCTAACTTTAATTGATTATTCTTAAGTCATCATTTAAAAGTTTTTTTAAAAAGTAATAATCTCATGGAATATTGTTTTTCAAAAGTATTTTCCCTATCGATTTCGTACGCATATGCACACACACACACACACGCATTCACATACACAGTGCTGAGAATAGCATTGAAAAAATATAAGTAAAATTTCCCCTTATTTTGTTACTTATTATTTTTATCCTCATCATTGTTTTGTATTTCACCAATAGAAATTGTCTTTTTTCTAGGTCATTCATTCATTCATTCACCACATTGAAAATGTAAATAGGAAAGTTGGTATAAAATAAACAACTATCATAACAGAGACAATAACCACTGAAATAACATTGAATCTAGATTTGATGAGAGGGAATATTCAGATATTGTCGTCCGTATTATATTCTCTTCTCGATTTAATTCTTTCTTTCTGATGTCTTATTTTGTTTGTTCTTTTTATTGTAAGATTTCTTGCCAATATTCATTAATTAAATATCTTAAACTGAGGGAAACAAATATGGTTAATTATAGAATAGAGGTGTAGAAAAGTAGTGCATTATCTCGACAAAGTTATGTGGTAGCTGGCAGTGAAATATCAAGGACATGTGTTTTGAATTATTTTGACCTCGTCAATTAAGTGAACCAAGCACACACCAGAGCTCGAACCAATTACCTGTAGAGTCTTGGTGTAAATATAAACACTGAAAGAAAATACATTTCACTGATGATTTTCAAATAGGGCAAATTGTGTGTCGTAGATTCTACTACTAGCCATTATTCGACTTGACTAAAACTCGTGGCTATATAATTGTAAATCCTACGCTATGATTTATAAAGAATATATCTACAATTTAATTAAGCATTTGTTTTGTCATCAAAATGCAACCAGCTTTAAATGAAACTGATAGAGTGCTGATGATAAATTCATTTAGTAGAAATAAAGGCTGATATTGCCTGTATTTTAAGAAATATATATTTTCAACAGTGAGATCCTAAAACCAATTCTTAGGTTCAGAGTGTATCTTATTAAAGTTCTGTTAATTAAATACTAATTATAAAGATTTTACGAAAGAAAACCAATGTTAACTAAATTAAAATTTTTAACATTGGTTTCTTTTGGGAAGAATTAAAACGAGTTTGGAAACTGAAAGTTTGTGGAACTTGGGTAACACATTTAGGACCAGAAACTTGTTTAATAAGACTTGTATTGTAGTGAGCAGAACACATGTGGGGACAATTGAATTATATCTAGCACGAAATTACAGAGTTACTGGTAAAAATAGAAAAAATACTATAGTAAATCGTTAGTTTGCAAAATATCAATCCATCATATCAAACCGGACTGTTTCTGTTGCAATCATCAATCCATTGTCTCACATTTCATTGTTCATGCGTTTTCTCACAAATCACATTGTGTTCTCGCTCTTCTTTTTTTTGATCTTCTTCCATCTTCTGCTACTAGACATTACGTTTTCAACTCGCGTAATATACTACTTACATCGATAGAAGTCGCACGCATCACAGTATCAGTGTAGAAAAATAAATACTTAAAGTTATCTAACAGTGTAGTAAAAGCTCTAGCAGACAAAAATGATTGTATTCGGGAGAAAATCATAAATGACTGAAAAATTTAAACAAACTGTTCCGTATGAAAATCTTAGTCTGACAACATTAAACTTTTGTATTTAAAAATTTGTGTATAATCAATAATTTTTTTCAAGAGTCTGAACTTTACCTGATTAAAAATTGAATGAAAAAGCCTTGCTAAGTATATATTATAATGATGAATCTTTTGGTTATTTAAAGTCAGGTACAAGAATCTATTACTACTGTAGAAGGAAGGAAGGTCTTGAGGATTGTCGGATTTCATAGTTTACATCGTGAACTGATCTTGCATGTATATCTATTAAAAATCAGGAAATGCTGGACAGTCGCTTATTCCCAGTATGGAATTACTCGTCATCAAGTATCCAGGAGCCAATCAGGAATCGACAAATATAGGACTTTCAGGATTCGTTTTCGACTCCTAACTTGTAGACCACTAAGTTAAAATCCAGTGGTTGACATTTCTGACTCTAATCATTTTGTGATACTACTTAGTGAAATTGACATTTAGTTATTAGTTCATTATTGAGGATGGGGGAGGGGAAGTTTCCAATTCTTGTCTGTCATTCATAATAAAGTCACTTAATACTTTAAAGAAATAATCTTGACAATCAAATCCATAGCTTCATGGCATTCAGTGAGTACTGTATTGTCTTCAATATTATTTTCATTTTACTACAATACTTGAAATCACTGACAACCACTTAACTGTTGATGTGTTTTTTGTTATGATCACTTTATGCAAGGTTACCTCAGTGAGACATATTCACTAATATAAGTGTTGAAAATTATCGAACGTTGACTAATTGATTATAATTTGCTGCATGAATTATCCATCATTTGTTTTTATCTGAATTTTCTTTTACGATTTACAGTGTACATGCTAGTGCTTTTATTTGAACCCTATAAATCTAAATTGTTCAATGAAATGAGTTTAATAATAAATCCAGCCAACTTACTAATAAGCTTAATTCAAATGTGGCTAAATATTTCATAAATTCGAGTGTATCATTTGCATGTACACTGGTCTATTTATTTCTACTTTAACTATTCACTCTATTTATGAGGTATAAAAAATTGTCAAATTTCGACTAGATTTATGGAATCCGATCATCACTAAAAAAAACTAAACATTACTCAATGATCAATCAGTTGTATATATCTCAATTCTACAAGAATTCAGTCTTAGCCTGAGTAATTCAGTGGTAACATCTCACCACTGTCGAATAGGGTGACCAGGTTTCAAATCCAATAAGGTATATTGTTCGCCTTAAGAATACAAGTGAGCTTTAAGAAAATAACTAGTTAGAATAAAAAAAATATTATTCGAAATCATTTAGAGGTTACGCCCAACATTTCTATTCTGGTTAAACAATGTAATATAATTTCTGATAAGCAGCTAAGTTATTTACAATGATTGGATATAATTCTGAGAAAAACAGAAAGGTGAACAATCTATTCATTATGTGAAAATAGTTAACGACATCGAGTGAGATCAACTAATGAATTCTTAAAAAAAATTCCGATAGTAGCGAAGATCTTTAGACTTCAACCAAATGAGAAACTCGTTAACATCATGAATTACGTTTTAACAAAAGATTTTTTTCTAAAAGAGAGTCTAACATGTTTTTGTTGTGTCTTGTGGACTGCAGATTATGGAGCAGCGAGTTTATCGATCGGACCAAAGACGCACAAACACGTAAGAACGTCCTAGAGTCCTGATTGGTCCTGCTTTTCGCCTAGCCCAGTCAGATAAGTCCAGAACACCAGTCTCAGCCTCTGAGATATGAATCATTATATTTCAAACATACTCTGTTTATATACCAATCAACCCAACCACAACGTTACAATAAAATAGAAAATAACATTTGTACAATAATTAGCCAGAAGTGGCTGTGAATGAGGAAGGTAGCAATCAACAGATAGGGGATAATTCATGAATGGTAAATCGTGCAATAATAGTTCATAGGTCAACATAAAGCTCATAATACGAGGAGCATGAATATGAAGAGTTTAGTTACTTAACAACTATACGATAAAAATATTCTTATAATATTGGTCCATAAATGGATCCCAAAAATTACCATTCATTATTCTCATCGGGATACAACAGTTTTCTGTCCGATTTTCAAATCTTATGCATTTAGTTTTGAGAAATTATTCATGAAATATCTTTTTACTTGTATAAAGTACACGAAATATTATTGAGCACCATTAATCATTTGTAACAGTAATCAGTTCACCCAATGCTGCAATAAAATTACTCATGTTTTTAGTAAGTCTTTGAAAAAAATTTCATACTTGTTTAATCTATGTATATCAGTGAAACAGGCATAAAATATGCCTTTTTACATAACTCTTTTATGATTATTTTCTTATCTTTCCTAATGTTTTACAGAAAGTAGAAGACAGTGATTCGATTTCCGCATTTGGGTAAGTTCATTGCTGTTTCTTTATTATCATTGAATGCAGTTCAGATTGAATGATTATATTTGATGTTTGGTAATTTAGGAGTAGGTTGAAAAAACGTTAGAGGTTGTCAAACCAACATATTACGTCAGTTCATAATGTCACTTATTGCTTAATTAAGACATACTAGTATGCGTAGACTACCTAGTCGGGAATAGCTCAATTATTACAACCAATAGTTGGAGAAGTTAGTTGTTTTGTCTCATAGTCTTTCTCCAGGTTCTTAGCTACTTAAGACTGACCGACTAATTATTGTGTTTCATACAGACTTATCATTTGAAATGTATAGCAGTTGAGATTTTATCATTTCGAGTTACTGAGAAATTAGTTCAACTGCTAACTAGAGTTAGAAAGTAAATCAAAAATTAAATTCTTGGATGTTATACTACAATTTACTATGGATTTTTTCCACAGAAAAGGATTTAGTAATTTATTGATAGCATAAATATCAAATTCACTTAGTATCGTTTTGCTTGAATCTTCCCAATGAGGTTTAAGACTGCAGTTGATCAGTCTGTAATTGCATACTGTGCGTATTGCCTCGATATTGTCTTAATTCACAAGCTGTATAAGCTAATATAGATAGTGACTAACAATGAAATTCAGGACGCGCGTTTCGTCCTATTTGGGACTTGTCAGCTGGATGTACCTGCATCTCAGAGTTGATGTTCACTCTGGGGCTCGAACCCAGTACCATTCGCTTCAAAAACCATCAAATTGTTCTTCTGAGAACATGATAGTCAAAAGTAATTCTAATATGGGGATTTGAACTCACATAAACAGAAGTATGATTCTAAACGTTTTCTTAAAAAGAACGGTTCTTAAGCATTTCACGATACACAGATGCAGTTAGACAATATATGGAATAAAAGTGTGTTAAATTTAAAGACCAGAGGAGGCTTTATTTTTGTTGATGGTGATGGTTTATATTTTTAAAAAAATGTGCTTACTGGTTAATATCAGAAAATTTCACAGTACGCAATCGGTTTTCGAGGTTTGTCTCTTTGTCGACAAACTAAAGATTTGATTGTTATTATTGAATGAAAGAAGAAATAAATCTATATATAAAAAGGCATTTTATATTTCAATTTCCTCAGTAATAGAAAATCTCTTCTCATGGTATTCAAATTTGTGTGCTAATGAAAAGTATATGAATTGAATGATCGGTGACACTATAATTTATGGACGAACCAATCACGTATAAGATAAAAGGTCACAGATTTTGGCGTGAAATCAACTCATCCATTTGAATAAATAGAATTTTGGCATTATAGCTGACGTCAGATCTTGATGAAAACTCGAAATCTAATTCCTAACCTTAATATCATCAACTGTAATTTATAATTCTAATTCCTCACACAGGTTAATAATCCTCATTTGGTGCTGGTTATTAAGTGTACACTCTCGAGGCCAGTATAGTATCACTCGAAGATCGTCCATAAATTATAGTTCCACCGAATGATCTTCAATAATAAAGATATATTTAACATAATAGTGTCTTTTTTTCCAAATTAGGCTGCAATATTTTATTGTATAGAAATGATGATTGATTCTTAGTTAAATCATCTTAACAGATTATAAATGGATTATGATGAAAAATTCATAAATACGTTCTTCTCTGTTTTGTATTGAAGATATTTAATCTGATTAAAAAATATTTAATACTCTGTTTATTGATGTACTAAGCATAAGGATTCATCTGGCTAGATTATTAATAACACTTATTACTTTGAGTGAATGAGCCATCAATATGTAACAAGAATCGATGTACCAATGTATTTTGGTTATGACTGACTATACAAATCTATTCACTACTTAAAGTTTGTAATACGGTTGAAATGATTACTGTATATTTGTATTGATGGTATGATGATTGGAAGTCTAGTAGACACTTTTTTTTGTATTGTTTCATTTGGTTAATATGTGCTTATCCAGCTGGGAAACTGGCGTCTGTTCATAATTACAGATTACATATGAACACACTATACCATATATTAGTGAGGAACATATAAAGCACCTATTCTAGATGCCTTTCAGTGGTATTCAACATTCATTTTTTTATCCAGTAATATCCTAGTATAAGGAGGTTGTTCATTTAATTAGAGTGAAATACTGCTGAAATGCTGATTGAGATAGATGTAACGCTGGTTTAAAGCGAGGACAATTGTCCTTTTTCATCTTTCAACGAAAGTATTGTAGGGAATGAGAACACAAGTAGGAGCAACCGAATGAATTTAAATAGAAAATTACAGAAAATCTTAGTAAAATCTTAGAACTATACATTAAATACTTCATTTGCAAAATGTCAATCGATCGCTTCAGTCTTCACTGTTCCTTCGTTTCCGCAGCAATCATTTACTGTTCTCGTTCTCTTTTCTTCAATCTTCTTAATCTTCTGCTGCCAGGCATTTCACTTTCGATTGATGATACATATTACTTATATCTGTCGAAATCAGTAGCACACACCACAATGTTGTATTTTCCAGAATATATACGTTCATAAAGTGTGTTAGTGATGCATAAAAGAATGTCATTTTTACTGGGGATAACTTAAAGCTGTCTGCATATATCTTTGATTAATTACACTACTGTAGCGCACCCCAGCTTAGCTGATGGAAAAGGAAAAAAAGGAGAGAAGTTAGAGCTTGAAATTAAACCCTCAATGAAAATTATATTATTACATGAGAAATTAACTCACTAAATGAACGGAAAAAAGCTAGATATTGCACATATTGGCAATTGAGAGGCAGATAGATTATCGGATCACAGACACATCCTAACTCCTAGGTAATCATTATATCAGTTTTGAATTTCAACCAATGAGATTAGAAATAAACAGAACACCTAATTTATTGAGACTCATGAACAAATTAGAGATCTATTCATTTCACTGTGACTGTACTGAAAATAGTGACCAATGAACTCGTTATCTTAATTTATGATTCAGGAAATCAGTTGAGAAGTGTTTCTTAATCAGTGATGGATTTCAACCACTGAACAGTACACTTTTTCATATAAATTAGTATTTTACAGACAAAAATCTTTCAATTTTTTCTACTTACATTGTACTAATAACACAGATTTATTTAAGATTTTTATCAAAGCTATAACGCTTTTTAGTGCTAGGTAGATATCTATACTAGGAATTGATTCCAGAATGTAAAATTTGTTCATATAAATTTCTGTAGGGATCGGTCACTGCTGAAACAAGTCACTTAATTTCTCTTTGAATATGAATTACAACAAATAAGTACATATCATCAGTTTGTAATTCAAGTTTATTAGTTATTCATTTTCGTGTCAGGAAAGTAGAAGAAAACTGATTTGACAATTTTGTTTCGTCAAACCACAATTCATTTGAAAAAAGTGATGAGCTGAATAGTTTGAAACACTTTAGGTATGATAGACTTCAATGGCATACGCGTATTAAATGCCGTCCAGTGCTTCCAGGTTTTCCATGGTGGTCTAGTTTCAATTGACTCATGATCTCAACTGTTCAAAGAATATATCTTTATGTGGAATTCTTTAACGTGTAGATCCAACTGGTTAGACTTTGCTTACTAATAATTTGTATATTACATATTTATTTAAAATATTAGCTATAGATATAGGTAGATTATGTCTACATAACCAGATTTATTTGTATATTAATTCTTTTTTGATATTGAGGACTGTAATATAATCCGTCTTAGCATTTGTTTATCCTGAATAGATATTTTAATATTGTTTTTGCTTTAGAAGTTTTGTTACGTTTGAATTACGATTAGTATTGAAGTCTAAGACTTGTGTCTCGATTTGATGGATGAACTTAGATCCCAATACTGATGTCCATATTTGAACTAGAGTATATTAGCAGTCTTCTCGAACGCCAACGCGTCATTCACTAAGGTACTGAGTTCAGATAGCCACTGTCTTGATTTATAAAAACTCGTGGTCAAAGTTCAATTGTGAATATTAACAACGGAACAATTATGAATCTTGACGAACTAACATTAAACCTGTTCAATAGTTCCGTGGCTATCATAATCAAGCCTTTGAGTAGATAACACAATAGCATTTGAGGTGATAGGTAATAGATTTGATTCTCAATGTGACACAATGAATACTAAAATTCAAGTGCATTCACCTGTGTAGAGATCACGATGGGTTAAAACCCATATTCTACATCCTACTGTTGATCATAATCCGAAACTACTAGGATCACTATGTGAATAATTCAACAATCTATCTATCTATCTATCTTCCATACTTAAAAATAAATATTTATTATACCTAATCGATTTTATGAAATCATTAGATGAACAGACAAAAAATTTTTACCAATCAATTTATTAAGGTCAGTTTCTTTGAGATCTTTATGTTTACATGTATATTCATTTGTATCCATCTAAATAGCTTTTGCTTCATGTTATACATGTAACGTGATGATAACATAGTAACATAATTATAATGGTTATTATATTGTTGTGAACATGTTTTTCTTTTTCACTCTCTCTCTTATTCAAATTATTAAGGACTTTATTAATTTTCACTTAGGAAAATAGTACATAAACAGTAGAAATGAACATGAGAGGTGATAATAATAGTAATAATAAAAAGCTTGTGACTTAAAGCTAGATTGAGGCAATTCGCACAGGATGCACATATATCAACATGAGACTGATCGATTGCAGTTCTCAATAACAATGGGAAGATACAAGTAAAACAACATCAAGTAAATAATAATAATAATAATAATAATAATAATAATAATAATGAAATGGCTGTGTCGAAAATATAAAGTAGAAAAACAAAAAATAGGGAGGTGAACTGGATGTCCAATTAATTAAATATTTGTTCAGATTGTCTGAGGCAGTAATATCAGTGTGACCTCAGCACTAATTCATTTACAACATTCCTCAGAGATAAGTTATAGTGTGATTTCTCAAGCTACAATCAGGATATAATAGGAAAACCTGAAATATTGATATGATATAACTGGAATTAGAAATATAAACTGTTGTATACCAATCCAGTGATCTGGAAGTTAAGTAATCACCTCAAGGTTGAAATTTTTCGGTTGTCTAAACGAAGTCAATCAGTGATATGAAAATTTCAGATTCAACAATTTTCAGCAACGTTACAATAAAACAAGATTTATTCCCTAATAACATGTACGAAAAGCAATTTTAGAAAAGAATTTGCTTTTCTAGAACTTTAATTTTACAGACTACTCATCAAGATGAGTAAATAATTTCTAATTATAATTAAATTGTAAGTGATGTCATGATGTCAAGCTGACCAGTGGAAAATGGAGGGAGACAAACAATTTGATCTTAGTAGAATCTACCGGTCTATACCGAAAATTAACTTTATTAGTGAATAACACTTGCCTTTAACGTAGATTTGACAATCTGTGCAATTCAATAGTTCTTGAAAATGATTCTTTGATTAGAAAATTTAATACGACAAGAATAAGTACATTGATTAAATGCTATAATTGTTACCAGTAGTAATAATGAACAGACTATGTAACAATGTTAGTGTTTAACTTCAATAAAACTAAAATATTATACGATTACACTTCATTGTTTTTGGTTAATAACTGCCTCATGGTCGACTCCGTTGAACTCTACTGATCACGGATTCTCACTAGAACTTCAGAAATGTCATCTCGAAACCAGTTATCAATGAGCAGATGATAATTCTCGGCATAACGTTGTAAGGGTTTTTTGAGTCTTAATTGAAATCACGAACGGATTAATGTTAGACCATCATTGAAAACTTGGAAGAAATGGACGACTGTTTTGTTCTAATATGAGACTCTTCAGCAGTTCGCATCTACGATCCATATCACTATTACATGAATGATGAATGTAAGAATTGTTGGAAATTTAAGTTTCTTGGTTATTGTCTAGTACTACTGAAAGTGACCAGTAATAATAGGAAATGCTTGAATTAATTTCATCTCTACGAAGTATATTGTCATCGTGTAATTCTTTAGTCATGAATTACAATCTAGCTTAGAATAACATTACGTGAAAATGATCACCATTCAAACTAAAGTATTAAATGTATCTAGGATAAATACGCTTAATAATCACCGAGTAATAACTGATATTGGTTTTGTCGTGTATATGTTTCAATGACATCTTCAAAGAAATATGCCATATTTTTCCGATTTTAAATACATTATTTGGATGCTTATAAATCGGTTGTAGACCCAATGTTTCTTATCAATTTATGTTTTCGACTAAACACTTTTCATTCGAAATCCTGTCGTTTGTTACTTAATACAAAAAATATCCATGCATTATTTTCACATTATGGAGACTGGAACAATATCTAGACTATTGTTGATTTTTTTTTGAAACAAATTTATAACTATCATAAATTCTTTCTTTCTATACATCAAAATTGATCGATCGGTTGTTGTCAATTTGCTTTTTCCTGTTTTCACCAACAGATTTTATCGATCTATCGAAAGTCAACCTGAACAACAACCATGGGGTAAGAAAGCAATTCCAATGGTTGGTGATTTGGTAAGTAACTAACACCGTTAGTATGATTTAATGTGACACAGTGTGACTTGAAACATGAGAATCGTAGGATAAATAAATGTACCAAGAGAGTAACTTATTGCTTATCAATTTTTATTCAAACGATTGAAGGCAGCTAATCTGTGTATCAGATGAAAAAAATATTCAAACGTAAAAAGCATTGAATAGGTATTTTTCCTTTAATTTGAAACTCTACCTTAGTGATAACACTTACATAGACGAAACTAGGGATATCTGATCTCGTAATGAACGTTATGCTTTTAGAGTACTGAGTAAAAACTTACTAATCCCAATCTTCAACCTCAGTTATTACTCCAAATAGCATGACAATTATCCATTACCATCAGTAATAACCTTCCAACTTCCGGCGACATAATCTTTGGAGGTCGCAACTTCATAATAGCACCTCAGCCATCTACTTTTAGAGTAGTCATTGATGAGTACGTAACTAATTTTAATTTCGATAGTTTTTAAGGAGATTTATTTTAACAATTTAGCTTCAGCCGAAATGGAATCAATAAGAATAAAGGAGCACTGGCAAACTATTTCATTCTAATTATAGGTTTAGTGATCCCATGATGATTACTCTATTCAAACTATGAAGAGGGAAAACACAACACTTTGTCCATAAAATCAAGTAGCCTAAGATTGAGTTTCTTGATCTAAAAGGTTAATTTATTCAATCTAATGTGAGCCTCCTCAGCTGATAACATAGTCAAATATCATTAAGGTTAAAACGGAACAATAATAAATTAGAGAAATAATCTAACTAGTCATTCGTAAAAAGTAGTTTAGTTTTTATAAGTCAATTACTAAACTACGATTTGAGCTATATCTTTTATATATTAAAAAGGAGTGAGAGAAATAGTAAGAAGTATAGCTCATTATCAAATTATACTGCATTTCCTGTTTCACTGAAAGTTGCAATCATTCACTTCAGTAGACTGCTGATGAATTTATAACGATGTATGTGTGAGTGAGTATATGTATGTGTTCATGTAGATATTCATCTTCATCCTTCAAAACTACCTACAACCACTATTAAAATCTGAGTGAATATTTTTCAATTATAAAGTTCACAGGTGAAACTATAATTTATGGACGATCTTCGAGCGATACTATACTGACCTCGAGAGTGTACACATAAGTGCATGGTTCTACGTTGTAGCTGACTGACTAGCTGACTGTGTACACTTAATAACCAGCACCAAACGAGGGTTATAAACCTGTGCGAGGAATTAGAATTATAAATTACAGTTGATAATATTTAGGTTAGGAATTAGATTTCGAGTTTTCATCATGATCTGACATCAGCCATAATGCCAAAACTCTATTTATTCAAATGGATGAGTTGATTTCACGTCAAAATCTGTGACCTTTTATCTTATACGTGATTGGTTCGTTCATAAATTATAGTCTCGCCGGTTCACGTTTATATGTACATGTTCAATGCTACAATTATATGTAGCCTTGAATTAAAAGTTCAATTTATATTTATATCATGAACTGACTTTCACTAAGCAACTGTTTAAACTAGGAAACACTGGACAGCTGGACTGAATTTAACAAATCAGAAGTCTGACAGGTGATATTCTATCCCCAAGACTTGAAGTTTGTCACCTCAAAATGATATGAGATAGGGTATGCACACTGATGAATTGTTTCATAACGGGATTAAAAAATCGTTCAATCATTCCAGACACATAGTAGTTGTCTAGTTGAATTAATTCAGTGATGTAAACAATATCATGAATAATTTTCACATACATCTTTTAACGATTAAAAGCAAAGACTTTATAGCAGATATTATAAACCCATCTGTTGATAGTTTCAGTGAAACAGAATAAATACTAACTCTCTAGTTTTCAATGATGATCAATCTTGTGTAGTTAAAGCCTAAAAACTATGTAGATAATACTGGTAAATAATACTCTGTTATTAGGAATGGAAAATGTGACATCATCAAGAGCCAGGATTAGACTGAGGACATTTTGTATAATCAGCACACGTGCTGATAAAACGTCTAGGAAACTGACGAAGTATTTGTTATACTTTGATTGGATGATTATTTACTCTGTTATCAAATTTGGTACACTGGTGGAACATTTCAGAGAATCACAGTTACTAATAAATCTAGAAATTCCGTTGTTTTATGTATACTAATTAGCCTTGAAGTAAAGCTTTTATTCTTATTTTTGCCTATTCTGTAGTGTTTGGGGCTTAATCATGGAAATATTTTGGGGATATAGTAAGCGTTTAGAAAGTCAGTATCAAGAGTTCGAGTGGCATACATATCGGTTTCGTTCTTACCTAGCAAAACCTTTTACTGATAGACTAATTATCCAATTTTAATATATCGATAAGCTTCACCTTTTTAAAAGTAAATTTAATTATAAGTGCCTGGATTACAATTTGTTGGTAATATTTGACTTCAGTTGGGATCCCACAGGTAATCAAGGAGCAGTTGATAGCTATTTCGCCTTAATATAGGAAACCTCATGAGTGTTCACCGTTTTTCACTTTCAATTGTCCATTAAGTAGTTAGAAACATTTGAGAAGAATCTGTAAATTTAAGTTTCTTGCCGGTTGACACTCATCAAAATGCTTTACTGAGGATCTCGAAGGGATAGGTGGTTTCTATGAGACTTGAGTCCACGCCATCCAGTGTTATAGTCAGCTATCTTGTCACGGAACCATTTGCGCTGTAACTAATCTGCTACAACGCCGAGACACATTAATTGATCACTGAATAGTAACTTATGCCATTTTTGTTTCATTCTTACCGCTAATAGAATTCAATCGACCACTTAGCTATATACACACTGCTTGAGATCGTTTATTCTGACATTATGTGTTCATAAACTCAGTTAGGCTAAGTGTTCACTAGTCTTTCACCAGTTCAAAATTTCCTCAACATTTATTTTTCTAATCAAAATTTTTCAATTCAGTTCAATTTGGACAAAAAGTTAATACTTTCTTAAGTTTCAAAAAGAATTCAGTTTAGTGAAAAGTAAATGAATGTGCTTCAATGTCCACTACACAAAAATCATCATGACAGTTAGAAATAGTAATTATCTAGTAATTATTATATACGATCTCAGTTAATGTTTAGTCTATTTCTAGTATATGAGTTGAATAATTTTAATTATAAGAGAAAACAAAACGTAATTAAGTAATAATTATGAAAGTTCAATCATATTCATATTACTCCTACTAGTACTTTTAGTACTTCTAATAATAGTAATATTAATAATATTAGTAAGATATATATTTAATTTAGAATGTTTGTTTGTTGTAAACTTTTAATACTGAAGATTATGTGTCTTCTTATTTGAATTCGATAGGAAATAAAGTTTCCCATTGTTCTAACTCATTCTGAATCACATTATCGAATGTTTAGGCGATTACTTTACAGATTATTATTGTTTGTGTTAATATAAATCAATTATTATCACTGAAGTTCATTAGTCTTCAGTTTACATCTCTTAATTTTTGTTTCAATGTTATTCGCTGGGGAGAGATTTTTATAGTTTAACGATAACTTTCATACTCCATTGCACAAGCAGATGGCCACCAGGACTCAGTAGCTAAGTAGACAAAATGATGGCGTTTGGAACGAACGGTACTGGGTCCGAGTCTCGGGGTGAAAATTAACTCTGAGATGGAGGTACATCCAGCTGAAGCGTCCCAAATAGGACAAAACAGGCGTCCTGGATTCCATTGCTAACCACAATCCATCTTTGCCTAATAACTAATGTTGGTTTTAGTCAACTTTTCATGGCTACTTCTTTATAGTAATAACTACTATTATGGTTGTGAAAAAAGTTGTAAGCCCCATGTGAATCTCGTTAAACACGTTGTACATAAACGTAGACAGATCTTGTTGTGTGACAAGCTCATCATATGATGATATTAAAAAGTCTAAAATGAAATATATTGGGAATGTGTGCTAATCAACAGACAAACCAACAGTGAGCGTAAAGAATGAATGAATTACGCAATTGTATATTTGATTTGTTAGTCAAATCAATATACAAATTATCGTATGACTGTTACAAAATTATAATCAAATTTTCATTTATTTTGGTTATATATTGGCAAGTCCATAGTTTGCATCGAAACTTAAAACCTCCATTAAAGGAAATTTTCAATGTGTTTATAGACAATTTTCATTAACTTTTAGATAAGTGAATCTATGATTTCAGATAATCTTGAATGACTATAAGAAATCTCAAATTTTTATTAAGTTCAAAGCAGGGTTATTAACATATATTAGAATTTAAATCTAAGATTTCCATCATACCCTTTAACCAATAAAATGGTATAAGATACTTTAAATCATATTGTTGAGTCGGTTTTCGGAGAACTTCAACGGAGTCTGCAGAGACCCAAAAGGAGCCGAAGAGTCCTAGCCAATCAGAGCATGATAGAGCATTCTAGAATTTTCACAAGTTGAAATCATGAGTCAATTGAAGCTAGACCACCATGGAAAACCTATTGGTCAGTAGCATAATATGTCCTTAACGGATTGGCCGAAATATGATGTTCATTTAGCAAACATTAACATTTATAAATACCCATGTTTTCTGTACAAAAAACGAACCTTGGAGTAGAGTATTTCTCTCATACTTTGCGTCTTCTCTCTGGTGTTCAGGTCACTGTACAGTTCTAGCGTGCGGGTTATCAAAATAGCATAGGAAACGAATATTACGTTCAATCGACAAGACTCATCACATATGAATAAATAAAAATCATACAAACGCTACTTTAAATCTTATTATTTTAAACCATAAATTATAATCCTTTCGTGATATACCCTTCATTTTATTACATCCTAATAACTGAAGTAATAAATTTCCCCACCCCCTACCACAAATCTTTTTTTCTGCTGAGGGTTTCAACATAATCAATTTTTTTTTGGTAAAAAAACAACAACGCCAACTTTCAAATACTCCTGTCAACTGTGATAAATTTTCTAAGAAAAATAATTAATGTTTTTATGACTGGTAACAAATGAGAAAAAAACTCTTTTTCTTTTGATTATTATTTATGAAAAGTTTCAATTTACATTTGAAGAATTAAAATTAAAATAGATAGATAATGTGTTGTGTATTATATAAGTGTTTACATTCTCTTATAAGCACCTCTTAGTTTGATTAAGTAAAAGGATAGTTAAAACTGTTGACAACTTGATTTTAATTCATTTAATACAAACTGGTCATACAGACAATATGGAACAATCAATTACAGTAATATATTGTGTTAACAACAATCTACCATAATTTATCAAATTAAGAATCCTTTAGATGACTGAAACAATAGCTATTTGGATATAAAGAAATATGTTCAATCGCTTCTTTTACCATGGTTAACTTCTGACCTAATTAGTTTAATGATCATTTGTTGATATGCTAACGTAATTCGATGAATGTTCATATCATCTTCCTTTGTATTTTCATAGCTTAAACTTAGTCAAATATTCTTATTATCTGTATAACACTTGCAAATATTTTGGGAAATTTATTTGGTATCCATGCCTACTTATTAATTTGTATATGATTTTTAATTTTTAATTACATTAATATCTCTCTTATCCCATATTGACAATATTTATTAAAGTCAACACTTCATATTAGTCATCCAACGTTAGCGATTTTCAGAATAGGGTTATGGAGATTGTTCAGTTTTGATTAAGATCACGAATTGATCAATTTGTGAACCTACCATTGATAACCTGGATGCACTAGACGGCATTTTCGTCCTAGTATGGGAATCCTCAGAAATGCGAATTATTGATTTTATTTTATTTTAGAATTCTAAATTCTTATGTTACAATTTTTATACGATAATTTTTTTCCTAAACTTGGTCACTTTTTTGAATTATTAATTTGGAAACTGAAGAAAATTTATTGAAAAGGATATTCTTTGTTTATATATCTGTGTTTTAATGTAATGGATAATCTTTAGCGATTTTGAATTCGAATGAAATTATGAAGTAGATTACTAGTGAAGACCTGGCAGCACTTGACGTTTGCCTCATCCAAGTGTGCAAGTGCTGCGCATTCATAGTCCTGCATGTGAGACTTGAATCCAGAACGTTTGGTCTCACGCCTGAAAGCTTAACTCTTAGACCAATGAGCTGGTATCCAACAGTGTTAATGACCAACTTCAATCAATTCACGAAATCCCCCGAACGAGGGTCGGGAGTGAAACAGGTGTTATAGGTCGTATTGGATGTTCTTCACTCTTATGGCTTGAGACACTAATCAACATTATGTATCATATCTTCAGTAGGACCGGTTACCTAAGTATCGATTAACACACAGAGCAATGAACAATAATCTATGAGCTTAACTCTCATCGGACCATGAGCTCCTTCTAACGAAATAGTCAATCAAAAAACTAAGACGTAAAGCAGAATAAATCTCTTTTGTACTCATTTCAATTCATGACTCAAAGCGCATACAATAACAGGCTTGAATTTGCTGATCACAGAGCACACCGTATTAGAAAACATACTTTAAAGATAATCATACCATAAGTGGTAGTATTAAACAAACAGTACATAATTAATAAAAAATAAATAAGGAATAGTAAAACATATAGTGACAATCAATCAATCCGCTGCGAAAGTTTCAACTTTTCCAACATCTGTCCCGTTATAACACCTACACTATATTGATTAACGTTGGAGTTTTAACATTGAAAACCAACCCAGTTATTCTAATGTTTAAAAGTTTGCTGAAAGACCTGGAGATTTTGAGTTCTATCCTGAACAGAATCGTGAATTCATATGATTAAAGAGCTTCATTACCAGGACTATGCACCTGTTTATTACTCCATGATTTCCAATAGTATCCTTACAGAGATCAATCTGTAATTAAATCAAACTATGATTTAAACTAATCTTCATTAAGAGTCTCTTTAATTAAATCCTTAAAATATCTGAAAATCAATACAGTTGAAGATTTCATTATTACTAAACCATTGTATTAAATATAAATTAAAAATTTATGTTAATAACATCAAATAATTCAATGAGCTATTGTTGTCATTTTACGTAAAGAATATTAGAAGGGAAAAGAATAAAACACGATGGTTATGCATTAAATTTAACGAGCACTTCCTGTTTATAAGCAAAGATGGATAGTGGTTAGCAGAGGAATCCAAGACGAGCGTTTCGTTCTATTTAGGACTTGTCAGCTAGATGTACCTGCATCCTAGAGTTGATGTTCACTCCAGGACTCGAAACGAGTACCGTTCGCTCCAAACGCCATCGCACTCTCCATTATCCATATTTACTTAGAAAGCTTGTAACTTTAGGCTATATCGAGGCAACCTGCACAGGATACATATATGCCAACATGAGACATCAATTGCAGTTCTAAATAACAATGGGAAGATACAAGTAAAGCAACGCCAAGTGAATTTCCTGTTTATTATTATTATTATTATTATTATTATTATTATTATTATTATTATTATTATTAACCTCGTCTCTCTCTTATAATCAATTAACTTCATTTTTCTTTGACTTCATTTCATCCAAACACTAGGTATTACGAGTAAGTTACAATCTGTTGTCTATATTATGCTGTGTATTTATTTGTTTTGCTTCGATAATGAATGTTTTATTTTTGTGAACATTATTTATAGGTTTATCTTAAGCCTAGTTAAGAGTAGCTGTATTGTTGGAAGATAACACATTCAAGTCATTCAATGGTAACATTTTTATGTTGAATTTTAAATAAAAATATGTTAAATAATTTATTACAATTGATTGATCATTGTGTAGCGACCAGTGTTATGTATGTTTAGTCTTTTCATGTTTCTGATCAAATTCTATAGATTGTTATAATGCAATCACTAGTCTAAGTGACTTAACATTGAATCTATTATGTTGAAATAGAGGAAGTTAACAGAAAAAACTTGCTTAACCTAATTTTTAGGCTAACTAGAACTCAACAGTTAGGAGTGCCTGTAATCTTTAGGATTGATTTTAGCGTTGATTAATTAAGTCTACAAAGACGAAAATATTCATACACTAAAGGAAAAATCTGTCAAAGTAAATTGTTTAATGATTGTATACGTTTTTTCAGTATTATAAGAGATCCGTTAATTCTGTTACCGTATTCATCCCACAATCGACAAGAAAAAACTCCCGCATCCTTGAACCTTTAGTCAAAGTTTCAAGAGTTTAAATAAAATACCAGATCATAATATTGCGCAATGTCCAAACGTAACCACAAATGACCTCAAAAAGGTGTAGATAAAATTGATTAGGGATTCAGGTTAAAATTAGTACTTTGGAAGTTCTTTCGGTTCATTGTGTTCATAAGTCTTGACTCTATGGAAATTTAGCTTAATAGTTATGTCTAGACAGCATTTTTATCTCATGGAATTAAACTTCTCTTAGTCAGTCAGCTACAACTTAGGACCAAGCACATATATGCATCGGTCTAAGTTGCCATATATCATTAGCACAGCAAGATGAACACCGGATTCATAGAAGTACTTAATTCAGCGATGGTAATATTTAAAAAAGAAAGATTTTATGAAAGGATATAGTACAGAATGAAAGAATTAGTTCAAAGAAAGATATAAAGTTATTTTAATCCCATAGTTTAAGAGAAGACAAAGAGTGTATACACTGACACCATTGTAATCGACTATGAGCTATGTCATTCAGAGTGTCCAACCATTGATTATAATAGTCACACGAATTCCAACTAAGTAGTCTGCATCAACCAACATGGCTCAAAGCGTGAGATAATGATTAAGATTCAAATTTTTTTTGAAATTCAATATAATTTACATTTAAACAAAAGAACATGCAGAAATTTTTAAAAAATAGTTTTAAATAGTAATTCAAGGGATAAAAACATCAACAGTTTATACAATTCTCAATTGTACTACTTAAAACGATTAGTAATTATATAAACTACAATGTTAAAATAATGAAAATGTAACGTAAAAGTAACAATTTCTTTCAATCTAAAAAAGTATTGTAATAGAACAATGAATAGACACTTAAAAAAAACCCACACTTCCCTCCTTGTTTGTCTAAAGTTTATTCTAATTGAAGTTTTTTTTTAATTGATAACCATTAAAAATAGTTGTTCAAGTAAAAATACCTATCTCTTCAGATAGAATACTTTTCTTCACAGTAGGTTTGCATTTTGTTTCGCGCTTCATTCCCTTCTCTCTCTCGCTTTCTGTATGGAAATGTGTGTGGGAAATATGATGAGACAAACATAGGTTACTTGAGAAATAATTGAATAATTGAAGGAATAATGTACAGTGATATGGTGATTCACTAATTCGATGATTATCTATTCACTAAGAAATTCAGATGTTGAACAATGAAAATGTTTATACCATTCGATCAATTTCAATTAGGAAAAAATAATCGAATCTTGTTGAACTGTTGTGTTAACAGAGGAGGAGACCAGTTTATTTGATTTCAACTAACAATCACTATTCTAGTATGGAATAAAATATTAGAAGTGATATAAATTTAATCAGAATAATGTCAAAGGTTTCGTAATTAATCGATGTTTAACTGTCTATAGGGTTTTCGTTCTTTTCGAAAAAAAACATTAATTAAACAGAAAGGCCTCAGTAAATAAATAAATGCTCCGACCTATTCCAAATCATGAATGTGTCTGATTTTTGGGTCAGGGTTGTTTAGCTCTAGAAATTTACTTACAATAATATTCGATGAGACGTAGCTTCTTCCAGTCACGTTAAGGTGGCTTTCTGTCTTTTTTCAAGACTTTGGAAGTATATTTTGTGACTCAGAATGTGAGTATACCGGAGACTTACCAACCAAGAGCGTACTGCTTGTGGCTTTTCCTCTCTCTCCTCTATCTCCGCATGGTTGTCAATTTTTCGTCACTTAAGACAGTCTCATCGGAACCATTAGGAAAACTGAAAGTTTTATCGGGTTCTTCAATTTCTACTTTAGAATCATGACTCCCAATATTAGGTGTTATTTCACTCTTCATTAGCTTCAAAAGAGATTTTACTTCTCCGTGAATCACATTTGGGTGTTTGGCAAGTTCCGTAACAACATGCACAACACTGATAAATTCTTTGCTGCCAGTATTCGTGTTACCAGTGCAGTCGCCGTCAATCTTCTTGAAGGCCAAAGCCTGGAGGCTGATAGCCTCTTGAATCTTTAATGTCTTATTCAAATCAAAAAACAAAGAAAGCCAATGCGAGTTATTCTTCCAGCATCTTTTGTATGCGATGGGGTTAAGACGGCCCATTCTTCCTATTTTAAGAGAAATTTCGTCCGTGTTAGGCAAATTTTGGGTAATCCGCTATAGGAAACTTTGGGGAAATAATACAAAACCCCCAAATTTCCTAAAACTAGAGAAATTGGGAGGTACACATCATAAGGAGCCACATTTTATACTCATCACATTGCATTCCTCCCTCGAAAAGAATAGTTTGGCTTTCCACATTTATAAGTACTGTCAACTATTAAAAACGGATTAAGAGCATTAAAAATATGATAAAATACACAATATGGTCACTAGTGTCAGAACTCGGTAGAAAAAAGTGCCTCGAGGAGGGTTTGGGAGAATCTCGAACCCTAACCGAAATAATTCAAGTTAAGGTAGACCAAGTATAGTTTGGATGCAACAATTACACAAAAGCCAAGTTAACCACGACTGGTACTAAATCACTGCCCTTTTTGAAACAGGCACTTTCTGTTTTTCTTGTTGTAAGCAGTTCTGCACTGGCTCGTTAATGGTATATCAAAGTCAATAACACTTCATTGGGAAGTAAACAAGACTCATCATAACATGTACTGTTTCAAGAAGGTGGTTTTAAGCATTGTGTTTTGGGTGGCGGTTTATCCTTACTAATCTGCTGCTCAAGCAGTAGTAGTGTAAAAGACAACATTAGGCTGGAGGAATATACGTTTATTTCAAGAATTTACAAAGTATTTACGTAATACATATACACAGTATCCATCATCTATTTGCATCTTTCAGTGTTTCTTGCCATCTGAACTGTCTTCTCGTCTGGTCTCCATTTGTTCTGCCAACTTCGTGCGTTCGATGCACTGAATGTCATCACAAGAATTGCAACTTCGACACCACATTTAGCTACACACTACTTACATACATCCTTGTGGGAGGCGTGCACTACAGTAGTATTAGTAGTAGATAGACAATGGTTTTAGTCACTGTGCTACCATTTAAAGATGTACATGACGGTTAAGATCAAACCCACTAGGTCTAATGACAATTATTTCACACATTACTGGAAGTCGGAAACTGCATAAACAAGTGTTAGTAGTTAATTACTATAAATTATAAAAGGAAAAAATTAGAGATTTTATTAACATGAACAGAAGGAAAGTTGACAATTATGCTAACAGAACTTGTAATCATACTGAATTGTCAAAACAGAAACACAACTAAGTCATCATTATTCCCTACTTTTGAATAAATAATAAGATGGATAAATTAGTTATCTAATGAAATATCATTCAAATGTCAAGTCGTCAAACGCTTAAGTACAAGGGAATGAAAAAGATACAATTCCCATCTAATAGTTTGACACGATAAGTGATCTATGTTAAAAACCACTTTGAAATTTATTTTGCATAGCTTTCTGTGCATTATTGTGATGTATAGTTCAAAGTTTTAAAGAACATTTAAAGACATTTTTCAAAGTCCGATAATTTTTTTTTAATTTGGCTTGCTTTTCTCTCCAATTTTCTTTTGTTCTAATTTAGACAATGGCACAGAAACGTACATTAACATCTTTGTCGTCTAACCTAGCCAGTTGGACACTGACAGATCAAGAATTGGTAAGAAATTATTTTAAATAAATTGTTTTTCTGTTGATTATTTGTGAAAATTGTTACATTTTATGGCTTACATCAAGGTTTGATCTTAAACAGCTTCTGGAAACTAGATAGCACTGGATGTCTACTGCGTCTTGATAATTGTTAAGCTCTTGTCACGGGACCTGAGAGCCCCGAGTTTAATATATGGTTAGTCTATGTATGTGTACTGCTGAGGAGTCTCATACTATCAGAAAATAACTACCCACTGCTTCGCATTTTTCAACTGTAATTCAACTAATATCAGTCAATCATGCAACCGAAATTGGAGTAATCATACTTTTTTGGACAGCATACGTAGCTTGAATTAGGCCAATCCATACAAAAATTTCTTTAAAGAAGTTTTCATTGTCCCTACCTAGGTTGATTACAACAGTGCTTGATGCTAAATGCTTGACTTTGTAGGTAATTGGCAAATTTTTATGATGGACGAGAATATTACTTACCAAATCTAGGTAATCTGAAACCTTTAAATCAACTCATATTTTCTTTAGACGACTTCAACCCAATAAACAGCCATGAGGGATATCAGTAGACAGCTAACAGAATTCTATCTTTAGTATGGAGTTATGGAGATTGTTATAACACTTCGTCTAATGTAATAACTGTTGAGTTTCCTTGTTTACACGTATGGGACGTTAATTTACCTTAGACGAATATCTACACTAGATTCCCTCCCACTGTCTATTCTTCAGGATTTCAATACAACTCAGATCAAGAACACGTGATTAGCCTGACTGCAAGGTAAATATATTTCCTCACCAAAACCCGATACGATCCAACAACTATGAACAATCAATAATAAGTGAGTAATAATAATAATAAGGATAGGGGAATATATAACTCATCTGACACCTTTCAGACTACCTACATGTCTGACTAAGCAGATAACCAATCATTATCATTCTCGCCCACACATCAGAGATCACTGAATTTCATTGAAATCGTTAACTGATCTAAGTCAGACCACTACTGAAAATTTGGAAGCAGCAGACGACTGTTTTGTCATAGTATCGGATTTCTCAGCAGCAGATACAAACGATCGCACACGTCAGAATCGAACCCAGGGTCTTCAAACTCACGTTCAAACACAACCTCTAGACCACTGAGCCGAAATCCAACAGTATTAATGCTTGACATCAATCAATCTAGGACATTGCGCTATTATTTACATGACATTACCGCTTATGTTAGGTAGATCATCTGAAGAAAAGTAATTTGAATCATCGATGCCAAGATTGGACTTGGTAGTTTCGAATTGCTTGAGCATCGGGTTGGAAGTTAATGATAACTTTGTCTTTTGTTATATCCCAATGAGTATAAAACTTAAACTTCTGACGTTTCGTGACTTAATGCAAGTTCCTTCTTCAGAGTAAATAAACAACGGTATTAAATTAACACAAGTTTCAAAGGAAACAATTTTTTCTTTCATTCAGTGACCAAACGTTAGAAATACAATTTTTATACTCATTGGGATATAATACAAAATAAATTTGTCATGAATTTGACTCATGTTTGTTGTGGATTCCCTTACAATGGTCGATGTTAGATAATGGTAGTTTTTTTAGTAATTCATGAGTGAAACTCAGCTAAACTACAAACAAATTTGCATATGTTTATATCACTCATTCTAAGAAGTGATGGCTATAAAAGACCCTGAATTAGCTAACTTATTCAGATCGATCATTAGGAAGAACATGAGTAGTTATGCTGATTCGTTTGGAATACATCTCAATAACAGATGTTCGACTTAAATATCAAGACAACAAAGCAGAAATATGAAATACCGTATGATTACAGTTGAAAATATCATAGTTCACTGATATATATGAAGTCGACCAGAGAGTTTCAGGAATGCATATTCTCATTTGTTACTTACTTACGCCTGTTACTCATCGTGGATTAGCATAGGCCGCCCACCAACACTCACAATCCAACCCTGTTCTAAGTGATCCTTTCCAGTTCCTTCCAGTTGTTATTCATTCTTTTCATATCTGTTTCTATATCCCGACGTAATGTGTTCTTTGGCCTTCCTCTTTTCCTCTCCCCTTCAGGATTCCAATTTAGGGCTTGACTTTTGATGCGGTTTAATGATTTCTGTAATGTATGACCTGTCCATTGCCATCGTCCTTTTCTAATTTCCTCGTCAGCTCATACATAGTTTGTCCTCCCCCACAGTAGGCTGTTGCTGATGGTATCCGGTCAATGGATATTGAATATCTTGTGTAGACAGCTATTTATAAGTACTCGTACATTCTTGATGATGGTTGTAGTAGTTCTACAAGTTTCGGCTCCGTACAGTAGAACTGTCCTGACGTTCATATTGAAGATTGTGACTTTGCTGTTGGTTGAAATTTGTTTCGATTTCCATATGTTCTTCAGCTGTAGGAATGCTGTTTTGCTTTGCCATTCCTCACCTTAACGTCTGTATCACGTCCTCCTTGTTCATCGATGATGCTTCCACGGTACGTGGAGGATTCTACATCTTCCAGAGTTTCGCCACCAAGTGTGATTGAATTGGTGTTCTCCTTGTTGTATTTGAAGACCTTGGTTTGCCTCTTGTGTATGTTTAGGCGTACTGATGCAGAGATTGCTGCTTTACTGGCTGTTCTTATCTGCAGTTCTTCGTGTCTATGGGATAGGAGGGCTAGGTCATCTGTGAAGTCTAAATTGTCTAATTGGTTCTGATCTGTCCATTGTATTCCGTCAAGGTCCTCTTAATCCAGTCGACCATCAGAAGAAAGAAGAAAGGGAGAGTAGACAGCCTTGTCTGACTCCGGTCCTTACTTGGAATGCATCTGTCAGCTGTCCTCCATGCACAACTTTGCACTGTATTCCGTCGTATGAATTCCGGATAATCTTGACGATCTTCATAGTGTCGAGGAAGTTTCCATAATATTCTCTTATCTACACTGTCGAACGCCTTTTCATAGTCAATGAAGTTGATGTATAGTAACAAGTTTCACTCAACCGATTGTTTAACAATGATCTGTAGTGTCGCGATTTGGCCTGTGCACGTCCGTTTCTTATGGAATCCAGCCTGTTGATCTCAAAATTGGGCGTTTACTGAGTCTTTCATTTGGTCCAGCAACACTTTATTGAAAACGTTTTCTGGTACGGATAGTAGTGTGATTCCTCTGTAGTTCTCACATTTGTTCAGATCTCTTTACTTTGGTATCTTGATGAGGTTCCTTCTTTCCGGTCTGTCGGTGGCACTTGTTTCTCACCCCAAATCTTCCTGAAGAGAAGGTGAATCATACTTGTAGTTACTTTCATATCTGACTTTAGTGCTTCAGTTGGTATATTGTCAGGTCCTGCTATTCTCATTTGTACTACAACATTATGAAGAATAGCTACAGATCTCGACTGTACTCAGTAATTTCCACAAACACATACTGAAAATAGTTATATTTATTTTATAGATCATTCTTTACTACTATTCGTCAAAATAATCCTAATTATCTGTTGAATATTTCTTTATCTTTTAGAAAATGCATGTTTATCGTAAAACATTACAAGCCTTGGCTTATCCCATATCAAGTAATACACCGCATAATTTTCAATTGTTTAGTGCTACCAGTCCTACGTATTGTTATGAATGTGAAGGCTTATTATGGGGTGTAGCCAGGCAAGGATTACGATGTACTGAATGTGGTGTTAAATGTCATGATAAATGTAAACGTTTATTAAATGCAGATTGTTTACAAAGTGAGTATATTATTTCCATATACATATATATCATAATAAAGTGATTTATTTTCACGTTTGGGAAGATTATTCCTGTATTACTTTGAAAGTTGACAGTAGTATATTTACGTTTATAGTTAAGTGAGATGAGGAAACAATCAAGTAAGTGTGTCACCTAAATAAATAAGAATCAAAGTAATTCATTAACATACGATTAGTTTGATGCTTATTATAATAAACTTTGAAAATTCGTTTGCATAAGTAGGCTGTCACTAATCACTCTTTTTGAATCGTTTTTATGATTCTTGAAAAACAATATATATATTCATATCTATACTTGAAGAAGAGCTGGATGTTGACTAATGTTCGTACAAATTGTTTTATTTAGTTTCCATCTTGAAGACTCAGTGAAATAAATGATGAATGGATAAGTGGTTTGTGCTAGTTTTTTTTCTATGACGTCTCACTACTTCATATGCCCAACTTCACATGGGGTCGAACCTCGGAACTGAGAAATTTCCAATGGTAATCAAAACAATATGAAGTAGAACTATCTGATAGTTTAATTATTACAACATTATTATTATTAGCTTTATTCAATATTATATTTCTGGTACAATATAGAATTCTCAGAACAAAGTATTTCAACAAGTTTCCGTTTCTTACTTCTTGGTCGATCCTGACGATAAATATTGAGTGATCGCCAGTTAGATGTTAGCAGTCCAGTACATGAACATCTGAATAATGTATATTCTTTTTGCTGCATATCGTCAGCGATCACAATATCTCTTATTGGGCTTTTTGTAACTTTGACAACGAAAGGTTGTACACTTTTCAGAAATGCACCTGAATAAGTTATGCGATCAATAAACATAATGATGTATTAAAACAAACAAAAATAGATAACTTATTGAAATATCTAGATGGCAGGAACAGGTAGCTCAGATGGTCAAGCAGGCTGCCAGTTAAAGTAGATATATTTAATTTATTCATGATCAAAAGTAAAAACTGACCATGATAGAATCAACAATAAAAAACTAGATCTCATTAGAAAACTGTATTGAAAATCTTCAATAAATTCCACTTAATCCTACTTACATTCAACTGATTTCTTCTTTTCTACTGTTAACCTTAAAATTAGGCCAGCTGTAAGTATAAATCTCTGTATACGCGTGTGTGTGTGTGCGTTGTTACCAAATATCTAGAGTAATATGACATAAATATCAGCTCAATGACACAAAAAAACACAAAAGAAATAAAATAATCTGGAACGAAATAAAATCGTAAAAAGCTTTCACATATATGTTCTTCTACTGTTCCTTTCTCGATACGTTTTTCTTATTATTACCAACATATGATATGTGTGTCGGTGTGTAATTGATAGTCTTGATGACCATATCATTCTAAACCTCTAATGAATCTAATTTTGGAACATTATCCATTCCCTTAAGGAAAAATTATTGTAACAAATATCTACTTGTTCATAAACATCATAGAATAGCTTTCTTCTTTTTTCTCCTTCTAAAAAAAGTTATTTTTCTTCGCAGAGTACACTGTGGTCTTTGTGCTTAAAAAAAATATAAGATCTACAATGGATGATTGTCTCATTGAAATATGTGATGAAAACAGTATGATAATTGTCCATGTAAATTCAATTATTGTTCATATCTACTACTTCTTATTTTCTTTTCTTAGCAACTGGCCCATAAAGAATTCAACAATATCATATAAATCTAAGTTTCAAATGTAAGAAGGAACAGTTTACTTAAGGTTTAATCAGTAACAATCACATGTTAAATAACATCACATCTAATATTTTTCAAATATATAAGTTGATGAATTATAGTATGAGAAGATGATATACAATATCAAAAGCGGAAATTAACAGATTTTTGTACTGAATATCTTTCTCTTTTATGTGGGACTCACTGATGGATAGACAATGGTACTGATACTGTAAGATGATTTGTAAGATAGTTAACTGATGTGTAGGGTTGATAAATCAAACATTTTATCGTAAAGAGAATGTAGCTTGATCAACCAATTGTTGTCTATATTACTGACTTCCAATGGATAAACTTTTTTGACATGTTATTACAATACTGTCATACATGTAAGAAAAGCAATCTTTACGGAACAAGTTCTGGTAGACTGGTAAATGACAAGGAAGTGGTCAATAACATTTAAGGTGTAACACCTCAAACTGTGAATAAGGGTTATGCCTGCTCTCATTTCATAGAAAGCATCGGTTCTCTCAAGATTGTAAACAAACCATGCGAACGAATAAAATTTAGTTCAAAACCTAGATTTGATGGTTATCAGCCGTCTATCTTCAATTGTCTAACAATAAAAGATACTGCACGCAGCGTTTAATCATTTACATTAGGTGACCTATAGTGCTTAACGAGTTTTATCGATCAAGTTACTGTGTGGATATTAGTCTAGGTGAATTGACATTGCATGGATTATGTTGAGATAACCGGGTTGTTGGTGGTAGTTGGCAGAAAATTTCGAATCTAGATTTTATCCTACTTAGCGCTCTCCAATAAAACATATTACCAATCCCGAGGAGAATGATGCTCCAGTGTAGCAGGATCCCCGATTTCACAGTCTGAGATGTTACCACTGAAATATCTGTGTTTTGAAGAACCTTTAGTAGAACTAAGTTATTTACAACTAGGAATATTTTTTACTCTCAACGGTAGTCGTCAACTGTCAATGAGCACGCAATATAAAACCGATGTAATTTGTATCCAGGGTATTTTGTGATCTAATTTGATTGAACGATATTATTCATCAGTAATTCACTAGAAATCAGGTTATATTTAAATAGGAAGAATGTATTTGTAAAATTTCAGTGAAAGAATTTGAAGTAAATCCAACGTTTCGCTTGGCAATCTGGTTCAAGCTTTTCCAAAGAAAATATAATCAAACAACAAAATTATCGCTGAGATTTTACAAATAAATTCTTTCTCTTTTTGATGACTCACATTAACACGGCGACCAAATATTGTGAAACCATTCGTTCAAATTTAGACAAAAGTTCTTATTTACAGGTTATATTTATCTGATGAAGATTAATATTTTTAAGCTATAAGATATATACGTTAACTTCATTCCCGAGTGCATTAATGCATAATCTATCAATTAATTTCGTTACTTACTTATTTATATAATTTAGTAGTATGCTTGTCCTAATAATTTGACATTCAATAGATACTTTTATTGTTTCACTATTAGTTAACTAATTAGCTATTTAATCTATTTCAATTGAAGCTAGACCACCATGGAAAACCTGGAAGCACTGCATGGCCGTTTCGTCCTGGTATGGGACTCCGTTGGATGCCGCCTCAGTGATCTAATGGTTAAGTGCCCGCGCGCGAAACCAATAGGTCCTGGGTTCGAACCCCACGGGATCATGGATGCGCGCTGCTGAGGAGTCCCATACCAGGACGAAACGGCTGTCCAGTGCTTCCAGATTTTCTATGGTGGTCTAGTTTCAATTGACTCATGATTTCAACCAGTGAAATTTCCAAAAATCTCCACAAAAAACCCATTCTGATAATATTTAATCTATGTTTAAGACATTTGGAATCGACTGACAAAATAATTTCATTTATGATAAGTCATAATGTTTAACAATTGAAATTTCAATGCGATATTCAATAAGATTGAGATAATTGTTTTAATGATAGCATTGAAATAATTTAAAATGATTTGATATAGTTGAATTGATTCTGTATTCTATTTTAATTATGAATTTGCTGGCATCAACGTGATGATTGTTACTTCATTTGGCATAGATTTCTAGCAGTTACATTCAAAATCTCAGAAACTGGTTTTAAATAAAAAGGTATTGAAAATCGATAGGTACTGAATAATTATTTTGCACTGGTTTGAGAACACAAAGTGGTGTGCATCCACAGCTCTCTGATGAATTTCAACACCAACTTTAAGCCTCAGATTGAAAGTGTTACTGTTGGGTCAATAAGTTGCAAAATAGTGGTCAGAAATTTCTAATGAGGACGAGACATCTGTCTGGCTCATATACATTCTAACAGAAGATTGGGAAGAATGAATTAGAGAGAATGAAAACAGAAATCAGAAGGTAATTTCAATAACAATGTATTTGAAAGCATCATGAACCGTGTTAGGGACAACTGAAGGAAGGCGTACAAATAATGTATTTAATGTATGGTTTTTATATTTTAGGAAAGCACTATTTACTTTTGCTTTAAAAAACAGATTGGTTATCCATAGCACTAGAATTAAATACTCTGACCAATCAATTGAACTATTTGCCTATTGTGAGCAAACTAAAAGTCCTACAGATCTTTTCGTTGAAATTTAAATATTTGAATGTGAACTTTCATATCTGATTTTTAGTTGAATAGTCAGTGCAATATGATGGGTTATCATATGGCAGTATTCATGATTGTGTTAGTAACCAATCTGAAAAAATTACAATTTGATATATTCTTTCTTCAAATTGATTCATTTTAATAGTAGCTAAGTTTTATAACCATGAATGATTTCAAAATGTGAGTATTAAAACTGAATTCGTTATTCTTAGGGGGGTAATATCCATGTTTTGAGACTTAAGGTTTTTTTTATTTTCATCCTGATAAGAGCCATTACTTTCTGTTGTCTAAGAAATCTTGAAGTCTCTGTAAATACCCATAAAGAGATTCTGAATTTTCATTAACCTTTCAACTTGATTCGGATTTGTTTTTTCCTCTTTCTAACATGTCAGTCATCACACTTTTAAACTGGATTATATTCCTTTTTTAAGTCTTTGTAATAAAATCAGTACATGAATACAGATAAGTTTAACAAGTGATTTTAATTAGGAATTAAATGAAATCGATTGAATCTTGTTAATACAATTGCTTACATTTAGAATGTATTCAAATCATATTACTACTGAACATATAATCCCGAAATTATGAATAATTTATTCATGATAGATTCATAAAATGTTTATTGGAAAATCATCATTCTGTATCTATCTACTAGTAATC